ACGCATTACTGGACATATTAAATGCATTGATAATGGTGAACGAAAACTAGCAGATAAAACTTTACACCTTTGAAAAATATATGCAGAAGTGTGTTAGACAACCTTCTAATTTTCGAAAATATGAATCGATTGGTTAGAGTATGTGCACATTACAATGAAAAATATTTAATGAATTACTAGCTGAAAATTAAACGCATATCTTCTTCAATGAACAATATTTGAAAAAAATTATCACAACAATCAACCATAATTTGCATGAATTAAGTATTCCACTGTTGAAAGGAAGTTTATTACCATTGAAAAGAACATGAAAAACTTAAGACAAGACACTACTGAATTGCAACGAACAACATAGGAGTCATAATAGTTTAGAAAATGCTTTTACGTAAATAAGTGTCAGAAACAATAAAGATGTTGAGATTGTAAATAAATTGTTGGCAATTACTTAGAAATGGTTGACTTTATCAGCGCTGTTGACTGATCAGAAATTTGTAACATAACTACATGTCTCTTCGTAGCAAATCTTTTCGTTTAAGCAAACCCCTTAAAAATTATGTCAGTATAGTAGGAATATCATAAAGGATTCCAACTTAGCTTAAGGCGCTTGCTTGTAATCAATTTGATTTCAAATAAGTAAACAACTGTCTACCATAAAAGCTAAAGGATGTTGCCATCCTTCAAATATTCTTTGTATTCATGCTATTGTACAGATAAAATTATCTTATTCTTTATTAGAAACAAACTATTTTTAAAAGTGAAGTCAAGGATTTACTCTTACTACTTGCAGTTATTTCACTCTATTTGTTTTTCTACTCGGTTTGTATACATCGGTTACTTCATCGACATAGACTCATTAAATGGCCAGCATCAAGAAAAAAAATGAAAGAAATGAAGTAACAGACTACATCAGTGACGAAAAGTGATTAAGCAACCGTAGTACATAGTATGCATATCTACAGCTTCCTCTGAATTCCATGCCTTAAGAAATCGAGATTACAAAGTGAAGTGCATTGTCAACTTCATGGCTATTTATATGAATAACATTAAAAGTTTTGAGCTACCCAGTTTATAATTCAAAAGTAATTGCCATTAACTGTCTTACCTTTGAGATCTTCTCCTCTAAAGAAACTCTAAATTCTCTTAGCTCCTTTCTATCCAAAGAACAAACATGTTATTAGTTTAGTTATGGTTATTCTTTTGGTTTTGGCTGGTGATACTGAGGCATCCTCATAGGAGCCCATATGCAAGTAGAGGTCGAACAATTCGATCCAGTAAAACAACGGAGAATTACAAGCATATCAATAAGTAATGATGTTATTTGTTTAACTTCATCACATTTTGGACCCACCTACCGCATACCTATTTTTCATCAAACAGGTTTAAAAATTCTCTTTACTGTTGGGCTGTATTATCATCTTTTCAATCAAGAACCTTACTTTATAATCCATTTACTTACTGTGACTTCTAAACCTAAATACAACTTTTCTTTTGGCTGATATGAAATGCATGTTAAATCACGCATAGTTCATACAGTGAATTCTTCTATCGCAAATTATAACTAAAATTTCACATAAAATTCATGGTTTTAGAATCCTCTTTCTAGAGAAGGGTGATTTTTGTCATAGTAGAAGGAAGAAAAGAGGCGCACTTAGCAACCTTGTGCACATACACACACCAAACGATCAGCCAGACCTAGTGATACTACCCGACCGCTCGAATCTTGGTAGTAGTGGGTCAAGAGAATAAACAAGAAATGTAATACCTGATTTACAACCACAATTTTCTGATACTTCGACCTTTTGAAAGCCAAACAACATCCACAAGATATATATCAGTTCACCAAGCAGCTCTCTTCAAAGAATTATTTTGTAAAATTTGGAAGAGAATAAATACGAAGTATATTTTAATCACATACTTATAAAATTCCAAAACAGTGTACTGATATGTGGCGGAAAAGGAAAAATTCTGAGTGAAAAAAAGAAATCAAAGGGGTATTTGAATGCACTACCAGATATCTTGCAGTAATGGTTTGTCAAAGTCGGTCAATAACGTTTCACTATTTCTTCGGTTTTTTCGCCGAAAATCTCGTAGAAATTTGAACTGTGAATACTTTTCATTAGCTAACACGATTTTCTAAATGAACCTTTTCATTCCAGTTCACCTAGCCTTCCATAACAGAATACTATATTATTTCAGAAAGTAACATGTTTTTTTAAATCAGGAACATGAAGCCAACTGTAACTCCGCATCAAAGTTACCCTAAAAGGACGATTTTTTCAAGAAGCTGAAAGTGAAGGACTAAGTGACTAATTTTTCATTGTTGTTAGGCTAGTTCCACAATTCAGAAGTCAAGAATGTCACCTTACCAAATTTCAGGATAATTCATCGACTAATGAAATAAAATATCCATAAAATGGCCTGAAAGTCTCACTGCTAATATAGCCGCGGTAGCTGATAAAACAGAATAAGCAAACAATGTCTTTGATATTCTTGCCCGTTATTGATAAGTTTAAAAATGGAATCACCATCTTGTTGATACGAACATGCAGAAGATTGTTTGTTTAGATGTTATTTTGGTTCGGTAAATCCTGTTTCCTGTATCCCGTAAGCAGACTAATACTTCGGTAACCAAAGGCTTTTTCTGTGAAAACGTTTATGTCAACAGCTTGAGTAGAATGGATGCATTTCTTCACTGAAAGTCACAGAATTTCATGCTGCCATCCTCAGCCAATGTTATCTAAGGTTATTTACTTGAGTTTGAGGTATTATGACTTAAGATCTTGTGAAACAATACCACTCATGGGATTAAAATACACTTGTCGGTAAACGTAAGCAAACCCTTAGAATTTAAGAGAAATTCATCAAACGAGAAAATGGTTTATAGATGAAACGTAAGCACGGGTACTGATGAGCTGAAGTAGTTTACATAGTAAGTTTAGTTTCATACTCTTCTATAGTGGCACAAAATATTCTGCTTACCAGCTTCATTGTCTGAGAATATATTTAAGTGCAACCTGCTCATCCAAGGCAGCTTAGATAGGGTAAAAATTGCTTAGCTTCCCTAACAGTCTCTCACCTTCTGAGCATGTTGTCAAATAAATGTCAGCGAGACGAAAAGTTGTAAAGAAAAATTGCAGATGTTGATGTATAATTCACAAATCAACAAAAACGCTTGTCCCCAAGAACTCAGTGTATATATTAAACAACCATGCTGTAACTTTAAAGTATTAGTGTACCACTAATATGAGAAGTGTTCACTTCAACAAAACTCCGGCCCTCTGAAGATTAATAGAGCAACAAAAGGTGAAGAGGGAAAATCACTTCATAGTTGTATGATGAAGAACTAAATTAATTGACAAGTTCATTTTTAACACCTTTAATATTTTACTGCGTAGATTTCTCTTTACAAACTTCGCCTCAAAAAATATATCGGATAGATTACCCACGTAAAATCAAATGCATGTAATTGCGAGAAAACATGTTGAGATTAAGGCGTAATTTCCAACGAAATAAACAGGGAAGAATTACAACCTCAGAGTTAAGTTTATTATTGTCACATAAGGGTGGAAATTAAGCGCCATTAAGGCTATCTAAGGATACAACTTAGTGTGGTTTAAGTATTCGATGTCTCATATATTTCAGGTCTCAGAACAAGTTTTATCACGAAAATGTTTCATTTTCATAAGATATCTAGTCAGTTGTAATAAATATTAGACTTTTCAAGAGTATGATTGAATATGTGTATTGTACTCAATTCCTCATATGACTTCTGAGTAATGTTTTACGTGAACCTAATTTTGACTCGACCTTTGCTCACGGTCGACAAATAGAACCTAAGTTTTCTAGATAAATCACTAGTCAAGGGATTATCTACAACTTGCAAAATTGTGATTTTGCCATGTTTCGTGTTATAGCAGACAGATAAAAACAGGATAATGCCTTAATTCAACAAGCAAAAACTAATAGCTGCGCGATGAGAAAAAAAGTACTTTCTTGGACAGTACTAATCAATTGTGATATGTTCATATGATCCCATGTAAAATTAGTATATAGGAGTGTGAAAGTAACTACTGTATTAATTAGTTTGATAATGAAATACACAAACTAAAATGAATGCTTTTCTGCGTTCCAAACAATCAATTAAAGAAAGCCTATAACTGAAGCGAATGAACTGTTAACTTTTGACATATAGGCAACTGCTGATATCTGAGTTCTACTCCACTACCATTTCTTTTCGTAAAAGTTTCCAAAATTCTGACTATTTTACAATATAAAGATTTAAATGTTTTGTTTCTCTTTTAATCTCACAAGACGGCCAACTGATAAAGTTTCTGAAGTTTCAGCAAACCTGACATTCAAACTTGAAATAAAAAGACAGCTATACCTCATTTCAAAATAATTACTCTTAGCAATGCATTAAACGACCAAACGTTGTGAAGCATATGCTCAATATGGGGGGCTCTTAAAAAACAACAATTGAGATTGCCATGATGAAATTGAAAGATTAAACTTGCATTCAAGTGTTGCGGATGTTCTGCAGAGCTACACCAGTCAGGCAGTTGAGGCTGCTGTCCCTAATTCTGTCGAAGACTGGGGTCTCCAAGCAAGCACAGAAAGTCATCTTGTCTACACTAGCACTTCAAACAGATATTCATATTATGCGAGGTAAAGTGAGACAACCTGTTCTAAGCATTTTATTCACCGCGCCCTGATCACTTAATAGCTGAGCACGGATGGTAAGTTTATAGAAGAAGAGTGAATAAGGTGCTATCGCTTGCAATGCAACCCACAGAATTTGTAATCTTCTGAACGCTAAGCAAATATCTGTAATTTCAAAAAATATTTACTAGATTTTTTGTAAATTGGCAAATTTAAAAAATTGACTGCTCTCAGAAAGATTTCAGACATAACTCACTACGGATGATAACGGTTTTTTGATAGACCAATTTGAAACAATAACTGTCACATTTAACCACAAAAAACTTATTAAAAGTACTCACCTGCCAACTTGAATCCGTATGTCGATAGTAAGCAAAGTTATTCATTATCCAACCGTATATATCCGAGAGCGTTACTTTAGGCTTGCCAAGCTCACGCATAGCCAAACAGATTAGAGTAGCGTAGGAGAAAGGAGGCTTTCCAGTCCATTTGGTTCGATAATCCATCCTAACCTGGGGATCTAAAAGGCTTCCTGCATACGGTTGATTGCTACTGCAAGAATACTTATTGCAGTAGTCTGAAAAATAGATTTGTGACACTTAAATAAACTTACCATCGAAGGATGGCGAGATGTTTAGGTCTTGGCTTTCAAAATAAGGAGCCGGTTCCATATTCATAGAAATTGGATTGGCGTCCTGACAGGTAAAGGTATATTATATAATTTTATCCATACGTATAACCACGTGAGACTAGTTAAGGAATCATCAGTCTGGTCAGCATTCGACAGTTTCTGCATCCAATTTTTTCGCAATCTTTCTGCCAACAACTTAAGATTATTTCCATAGAGGTCAAATGATTGAGGACAAATGTTTAGTGACATGGATATAAGAATTTAGAAATATTTCGTGAAATTCTGACAGTCGCCGGTTTTTAAGGGTTGTAAAAGACCTAAGGCCTAGCTGAAGACCAGTCTGTGTAATGTTGCAGAACCTGTCTTAACGTCAGTAATTATATACAGATCGCGCGACAAGATAGTACAAAGTCATACAATGCGCGTTAAGCAGGACTTAAGTTTCTCATGAATTGAATAGAAAGTTAAAACAAATCGGCACAATCCCCTTTTAATCACAAAAAGCGCTTTTTCTGCAGTGCAAGTAATAATTTAACATGTCTAATCAATAAAATAAACACTTTAATTACACAACAGCCTGAAAGTAAGAAATATCATCGCATGCATTCTACACATCCATGCTTCGACAGATTGTTACTTTCTTTCGTGTCCTAATACATAATCTTACAGCACTCATAGTCATTCATCATCGTTTTCAATGAAACTGTACAGAATTTATTAGATGAACCCTATGAATGAAATAGTAGTCAGGCCCAAAAATTAGGAATGTCACCTGGCATTCAGTAAGGATAATAAGAGATGCCCAATTTAACTAACTGGATTCTCTTTGGCTTAGTTTGGTTCCCAACGAAGCAGCTTTTGTCAAAACTGATCATGGTGCTTGGCTAAATGGGTCTGTCTTCAGTAGGTATCTTTATCTGTGGATGATGTCAAATTTTAACTAGCTACTCAATTTCCAGTATCCGTTTTGTGAGCTTATATCAACTGACTGGCGCATTCTTCCTGGCGTTAAAGCCGTGCTGAATAGCGTTCGTTTCTTTAGCAGATTCCCATGCTGTAGATTCACCCATTTGCATGCTGCTGAATCGGTAAACATGGTGCGCGATTTTCTATGGGTCGAATTTGTGGGAAACCGTGTGATTCATCCTAGGAGTATGGCAATGATGAGTTCCTCAAATGTAACGTCACCACTTGTCGGGAAAGGTGTTCGGAAAAAATGAAGACGATGAGTAGGTAACCAGGAAGGGCCAGGGGAGGTAATTAGACAACTAAAAGAAAGGAAGTGGAAGAAAAACGCAGGTAAACTTGGGGAATACGGGAGCGAAAATGGTGATATGCAAGACCCTGATGAACAGGGTAAAATCTTAAAGAGTAAGAAAGGGGGAAATTAGCATAGATTAGAGAGAAGGAAACAATGGTATCATTGGTGGTAAGGCAACTGGGGGTATAAGGCTGAGTGGAGCCCACGATGAAAGTGGCAATGGAAAGGAATCGTTATGGAGGCGGCAAGCTGTTGGATAGATGTGAGGTCAGTTGGTTATTATGGATGAGTCCGGGTCTCAACTGGATAAGTGAAAGTAACGTGCCACTGAACAGCTGCCCAACTTTTTCTGGAAGCTGTTAACAGACGCAACAGTGACAACCCAGATGCGCTCCATTAATGGTAGGCTTGATAGGAGAAAAAGTGTGAACACAACAGTTTTCCTCTTTCTGATGGACAATTCTGTTTGGGTCTGCCGAAGTGACCGTTCGGTAAGATTCTATAATTCGCGTGGCTTAAATTACTTGGGATCTTGTAGGTCATGATCAAGTCTTCACGTAGCCTGGAGTAACTAAGGGAGAGAAAACCTTTTCATTCACCCTATCCCTCTATGGTTTACGCCACGTATCTGCAACATGCTTCGTGGCTGGCCTCTAAACTCCCTCCGGAAAGTTCGCAAGTGTCTTCAAATGTGGTGATGCGATGATGTTTGGAACCTCTGAGTGAGGTCACACGCAGCCCCAGAGTGCAAGCACTTGATTATCTGTGTGTGAGGTGTAGTATTGGGTAGGTTCCGGTAGGATAACTGGGACAATTGTGACTACTGTCCACTTTGTCAGTTAGTATCAACCCCAGATCCTTCTTCAAGACGTGTGGAAAAAGAAAGGATCGTAATAGGGATAGGATACTTTCTACAAATTGGATGTACGGAAAAACAAAGAACGACATTTATCTACGTTAAACGCCGTTCCGTTATTTCCCCTTACTTTTTGAGCGTTCATGAGTCGCCTTGTGGCAAGTAAAGTAAAATGCCAACCGCTCTTTACTTTTATCGGCTACTGAAGTATAGGGCTCCAGACAGCTCACCCACAGACTGTGATTTGGGAAGTACGTAACTGAAACGTGTCATGATCAGTTTCTAGCCAATCAAGTTCGTTAACTTCCAAAGATTACTGTTGTCCCTGAAATATCCCCGTGCTGATTTAGGTTGGGCATGTAACTTCACGGTCTCCAATGACGGTCAGTTGTCCATAATCAAAAGTACTCATTGGCAGTTACCTAGACGGGCTCCAAATAGGTCGAGTAAATTTCAAGCAATCTTGGTCCCTGGTGACCTTCAGGCATCTCAGACCTAAGATTCACGTAACCATCGCTTAACAGACTCGGTAGTTCCTTCACAGCTCTTTGAAACAGTGAAAGATTGGTGGCTTGTTGCTGCATCTGGAAAGTTATTGTCCCCGCCGTGCACTTTCAACAGGGTTTGTGCTTGTCGAGCCGTCGGGTGATATGTATCCCCCTTTACAGGTTACACTTCTAGGTAGCTCCTACAGGCGTTCGTAGATCAACAAAACATTCAGCAGCACGGTCAAGACTCACACCTGCTGTGCTTCATAAGTCTTTGTTGCAAAAACACTATTCTCGATGGTTACTAACAGAGAGCTCTATCTACCCTTATACATAGCACCTTAACGAATGGGCAGCTTTCAATATAAGGACTCATCATCTGCCCACAGTGAAGCTTAGACAGGGCCAATCATCATGCTGCAGGTAGGCATCAAACACAATGAAGGTATCACGTCGAAGCCGACTACAAGAAACCACATGGCGCGCTGTTGCAAGCGGGAGACATTGCGCGTAAAAACTACTAGGTTCCGCATGAGGTGGGTAGGATCATTCACTGAACTGGAAGTATTTAACAATACCAAATGAAGAATCCAAGGCAATGCATCCGGTCAGGAGGAATTCATACTCTATGGCGATTCTGCAGTAGGCGTGTCTGGAGGCTCATAGGCTGAACCCAGATCTAAGGGTCGCAGTGTTAGCAGTTCAATCCAAAAACCGCAGTCATCTTCAAATTTGAACGAACTGTGCGCCTAAAAGGTTGAAACCAAGGCGTATTCAGATTGCCTGTTGACAGGATAAAAGTGGCCAACAAATTGGGAACCAGTCTACCACTTTTTCGTTGTGGTATGACTAGTTGGGAAACACAGAGATTCTATTCTCGTATGACAGTTATTACTAGTGTAGGCACTTGTGTAGTTTATTGCCGACCAAATGCTACCTCTCTTGCTTCAGGTCATTTGTCGCCCAGAATTCTCGCGTGGTAAACTTGCACACGCATTCTTGCATTCGTTTACAAGTACGGAAAGTTGTGTCCGTGCCAGCAGAAGTATGATCAGAGAATATTTCAACACCTAATTTGTTGACTGTCCAACGAACAATGATTTACGCGCACAGTTGTCCAAACATTTCTCAGTTCCGTTAATTATCTAGTTGGATGTTCCAGGGGTCTCTTCTTACTGGTTGTTCTGAGACCACCTGGGGGCTTAATAACCATAGGGGCCACTTGCTGTTTTACGCAGAGTTCCTTATATAGTCGTTTTTTGGGCGCAAAATTAAGATACTTTTCCCTTGAATTACATGACCCGGTTAGTGGGCATATTCGTCTGGATGTGAATTTGAGCGGTTTGGGTTACGTGGGTTATGCTGCAAACAACGTGACTGAAACGATATTCTTTTATTTTTTTCGCAGTCATTCCTTATGAGACCAAAAATCCGGCAAACAGTTTCCCAAATTAAATGCATAGGTTTTTAATTTAATCCCTGTGTGTTAAGAAAATTGAGGCGCTCATGTTCTTCCAAGGTTGTCATCATAACTATGGACTGGACGTTCATAGTTTCTTGATTTGCTTAAATACGTGCCGCAGATAACCGGTGGAAACACCACATCTATCTTTGTTTCATGAAAAGGAAGGTGGTTACGTCAGGTAACGAAAAGACGCTGGTGGGCTGCAAATGGTGTGTTTTTCGAGACAATGTACGAAAGCTTCCGTCACTGCTACGCAATAATTTATATTTTTGACTGTCAAAGGAAGATGGAAGCAAGGCACATGTTGTACATGAGATTAGAACTGCTATTAATTTCATCAAAGGGTATATTCGGGTCTGTTGGAGACAACTATTGGCAAGTAGTGGACGGCTTCAGAGACCACTGGGTTTTCGGGCAACCCTACGACAAGTAGAAGTACCCTTCCATCGCTGCGCCGTAAAAGCGGATCAGAATTAAGCGCTGTCACTAGGGTGGTTGACAAACGACTGCTTACCCAGCCACAGAAACAGTCGACATGGATAGGCCCCCAAGAAATGGGAGAACGTGAAATCGAGTTTCCACGTCGTTTTGAGGCTTGCGGGAGGAGGTGAGAGTCAAGAAGCGTGCATCTGTGCCGGTACCCACGCCCTGTTATAAGTACTAAGAAGTTGGTGGATTGAACATCAACACTTACCGTGAATATCTCAAAAGCGCTTTGAATGAAGGTATATTTGTCGTCTGCAGTGAGTTGCTTAAACGTTGCAAATGAGCAGTGTCCTCAAAACGACTCGTCAATAAATGTCTAGATTTGGAAAGAGAATACGAATATACACCAGTCGCTTTGTAGGAAGAATCGCAACATGCGAGGCTGATAGACAGAAAAGCCTATGTAGACGGCACCCACTGTCAAAGGCGATGATGAGCTATGTTGCTTTGGACAAAGCTGACAAGGTGGAGGAACAACAATGCCTAAGCTGTATTTAGGGAATGACATCTGTTTACTTACTCTGTCCTAAACCATCAAAAATCTGCAGATATCCATGAGGATTTGGATTGTTTTGCTGAGCTCAAAGGGTTATCATAACGCGATGTTTTGCGAAGCAGATGGCAGTGCGTACCATAACTAATACGGCTGGCACAGAAAAGTAAATACTTTCGAATGGTAGTGACAGCACATGA